GCATATTCTGTGCCCTCATTGCCTCCATGAGTACTGCCAGCGCTCTTGCCACCTCCTCCGAACTGGGCCCCGTCAAAGGGGTCCCCGGCCGAGTGTGGTAATGAGGCCGTGCAGCCGATGGTTGGCTTTGGGACACCGAATATGTCCTATGATCAGACTGACCCCTGCTAGACCGAGAGTGGTCCGGCCTATATTGGGAGTCATGCATTATAGGAGATAGGGAATCCTCCTTGTGTGATCCTCCCCCCGAGCCGGCACCCTTGGGAGAGTTCCGGTCCGGCGAGGGCGATGGTGTAGGGGTTTTAGGCTTTTCGCCCGCTCCTTGACGGAGGCTTTTGCTCTTGCGGTTCTTAGCCATGGCTGCTAAGATAATTGCAAGATGATCTTGGTTAGGAATTTGGCTTAAAGATTTTTGAAAGTCTTCCCCACAGACGGCGCCAAATTGTTTCGGTTGAAAACAATGGGACCTTGCCGAAGGTCCACTAAAATGGAGAAGACTGGATTCGATCCAAGCTGTGTTGGGCCGAAGGTTTCCTGCACAGTGAACACACGTAAACTAGCCTCGGGGGTGTTTCCGAGGAAGGCCCCTCCGATGCTAAAGTCAGTACAATGTGTAAAAAGGAAGACACTATGCAAGAGAGTTTGTAGCTTGAGGCTTTTGTGGAGTATTTCTCAATGCAAGAATGAGCATATGAATTGCAATAATCGGTGTATGAGATAATGCAAGTGACAATGTGTCTGATAGTGTATGATCTCGTATGTGATGTTATGAGATGTCTTCTTGAATGTGTTAATATGAGGGCTTTTATACCTCATCATATTTGGAGAGGTTGGGCTTTAGCCCAATTGGCTTACTTTGTGGGCTGACTTTTGACTTTTGAGCAATTGGAGAGTTGAACCTTGACCTTGGGCTTTTAATTGGATCATTTAGTGCTCAGGCCCAATTTTGACTAAATTGGACCCAAACAGTATGTAATGTAATGTAATTTTTCATACAGCTAGAATTTTTATTTTTTTTTTCTTTTTTTTTTTGAAACATCAAACAGCTAGAATTTGATCCGATATTATGTTACACATGTAGCTACTAGATTACATAACTTGATTGTGTACACTAAGATTGAGCCAAACGTTTATGATGCTATTTTAATAAATCATCAGGCGAACTACTATGAGTCACTATCTAATGAATTAGGTCTGCTTGTTGTTTGGGTATTATAATGCTTATAAAGTTATAAACCCAATGAGCATCACAAAGCCCTGCTTTTTACAAGATTTGTTTTTTACTTTATATTTATTTAATATCTATAATTTAACAATAATGGGTCCATAGCTCAGTGGTAGAGCAATTGACTGCAGATCAATAGGTCACCGGTTCGAACCCGGTTGGGCCCTAAATTAACCTTAATTTTTTTTTGGCCTTTTCATTCTAACTTTTTGTTCATCTAATTTAAATTGGTTAATTATTTTTGCCTTTTTTCATTTTCATTCTAACTTTTGTTCATGTAATTTAAATTGGTTAATTATTTTTGCCTTTTTTCATTTTCATTCTAACTTTTGTTCATGTAATTTAAATTGGTTAATTATTTTGTTTTTGAGAATAATATGTTTGCAACTTAACCAATTATGAGAAAAGACTTGCATACTAAGGGCCTGTTAATTTCAGTTCAGTTCAGCTCTAATCAGTTCAATTCAGCTCCTAATTTCCTTCTCTTATAAAATATTAATTTCAGTGTTATTTAGTTCAATTCATCTCCAATCAGTTCAGTTCAGTTCAGTTCATCTCCAATCAGTTCAACTTAGTAAATGTGAACAAATCCTTAAATATTGGATTTTGCAATGACTTTAGGAGTAGTATTTGTCTTGTCATCTTGTGACTGGGATCGATACTCCTTTGTTAATCTTCTTTGTTTAATTATCAATGACCAATCAATTGATTTTGGTGGTTTGATAATGTGTTTAAGAGAATCTTGTTCTAAACTTCTAATTGATGAAATGAACGTGGATTGAACCAAACTTTGGATTAGGGACTTAGGATTGAGCATTTCTTGACTCATGACCCGACTCTTTTTTTTTTTTTTTTTTTTTTTTTTTTGACGGGGTATGAAGCTAGTTAATAAAGAAAGGGATTGCAAGATTTGCAACAAGCATTTTTTAATCGTAAATATTAACAGACTTTTTTTTTTTTGATGGGGAAAATGAACATAGTATATTTTCTTAATTTGTACTCGTACTAAAGTTTGGTTCATGCAATCACTTTTGGTTTTTGTTGTTTCTATACTATCTATTTCGTAGTAATTACCCATGTTTTTTCTCTACCTTTGATAAAGTATTATGTAAAACGGACTCATGTGAGTTTGGTCATGCAAACAGGAAAAAAAAAAAATTGTTAGAAATTAGATAATAATAGTCAGAGATTAAATTATAAATATCATATATTAGGTTATAAGTGTCGGAAATTAGATACTAATGGTTTTTTTTTTTTAAAAAAAAAAAGATAAAAATGGTCAAATACTATATTATACTTATCAGATATTAGATTATAATTGTTAGATATTAGCTTTTAATTAATAGAAATTAAATTATAATGGTTAGATATTAGATTATAAATTTCAGAAATTAGGTTATATATATATATATATATATATATATATATATATATATATATATATATATATATATATATATATATATATATATATATATATATATATACACACTAGTTTTGCGCCCCGTGCGATGCCCGGGTGGTTTATGAAGTCTATTTAAATCTACCCAACGTGGCGCAACACTCAAATTTTATTTTATCAAAAATAAAACTCTAAACTAACAATTTTGTCCTAAAATTCTATCAAAATTTGATTCAAAATAGTATTATAAACTAACTTTTTTATCTTATGAATTCTATTTGAACCTACCCAACATGGCGCGACACTTGGCGAAAAGTTAGAACGCCAAATGTCACAGCCTCGTGACCTGGCTAAAAGTTTAGCTTTATATATATATATATATATATATATATATATATATATATATATATATATATATATATATATATATATATATATATATATATATATATATATATATATATATATATATATATATATATATATATATATATATATATATATATATATTAGATTATTTTAGTCATCTATCAGGTCGCCAAAAAACCCCTTTGAACCTTGGTTGAAACTTCACACAAGATCAATTCAGTATTTTGAGGTACACAAAGTCTTATATGTGGTTGGCCACATGATGTGGTCATCCATCTTGAGGATTACTTCGTTAGTGTTATAGGGGTTACTTGTTCAGTATTGCAGGGATTACTTTGTCACTGTTACATGGTTACTATTCCAGTTGTTCACACTAACGATAGAATTTCTCAAAATTATACTGAGTATGTTTTCTTCATAGATGTTGTCAAATTTGTGTTTCATTTCTTGTTGGAGAGTTGAATTGAACTATCCGACAAGATTTAAAACTCAAATTATACTAGTATAAGATCTGGCTCTGGCATATGTATACGAATCAAGATATTTCAGGTATTTCTCCTTTTTTCTTTAAATTGTTGTTATTCCTTATTCCAATTTATAATAATCAATTATTTAATTTGTTTCAGATCTTTGATCATTTAATTTGAGTTGTACTTAAATAATTTCATACTACTATACATGATTAGAGTTTCATTTTTACTACGGAGTAGTTTTTTTGGTCAATCCGCTAATTTGGGTTCAAAGACCTGGTTATTGGGCGGGTCTGTTCAGGGTCGGTTGCGGGTCAGGGTCAAAGAGGGTCACATTTTATAGGGTCAATATAGGGTCGGGCCAATGCGGGTCGCGGGTCGATAATGGACGGGCATACAAAATATCAATTAAAATAAATATTGGACAAAGCCATTATTAAATACATATGAATACAAATTAATCTATATAATTATTTTTACATTATGTATTTTCTTTATCAACTAAATTGGAAAAACATGTTGGCCCTATATTGACCCTACCCAATAAGGATCATGTCCATTAAAAGCCCTATAAGCTTGGCCCTAACCCTATTATCATTGGGCTACCCTGTCCAATAACCACTCTAGTTCAAACCACAAGTATATTCTAGTTCAAACCACAAGTATATTACATTCATTATTCACAAGTATATGGAGACTATAATTACAAGCTACTTTAGCATCTAAAGATAGACGACAATACAAGATGTCAACAAGTATCACTGATATACTCGCCAAAATCAGATAAAACTTTATTATAAATATTTCAGAAAGAGTAAATTCACTGAAATTATTGCTAGACAATTTCAAGTATTGTCCTTATCAATTTCTACTTTACAGCTTTCGTTTGGATTAGAATAGATGGCACTATATGTGGTTTCAGCAAACACAAGGGCTCTAACTCACTGTTTATTGGTAGGGAAAAGTTGTACTCCTACTTTTATTGATTGAATTGAATGATTTTAGCCACATTGAATGGCTACTAGTAACACCATACTATATTCCTAATATCTTACTTGTATTATTTACTAATTCAAAACTCTTTTTCCACACCAATATTCACAATCAATGGCTGATTCAGTTCTGTACGGCATTGCGCAGGAAGTCTTGAAGAACCTGGGATCAACTGCCCTTACCGAGATTGCCTCGGCTTGGGGATTCAAGGCTCGGCTTGAGAAGCTCAACAACACCATCAACACCCTCAAAGATGTGTTGTTGGATGCTGAGAATAAGCAAGCTGATAGCCGTGCTGTTCGTGATTGGCTTGAAAGGCTTACCGCTGTTGTCTATGCTGCTGACGACTTGTTCGATGAGTTTGTTACAGTTGCTGCACGTAAACAGCTCATGGGTGGAAACAAAGTGACTAGAGAGCTACAAACTTTCTTCTCCCGCTAAAATCAGATAGGCTTTGCCTTCCGTGTTTCCCGAGAGATTAAAACAGTTCGGGAAAAGCTTGATGAGATTGTCAGAGACAGTACACAGTTTAACTTTGTACTTTCTCATGAGGAGGGGAGAGTAATGAAGAGGCCTATGAGAGATCAGACTTATTCTTTTGTTGATGCTGAGCAGGTTATTGGTAGAGATGATGATAAGAAAGTCATCTTGGACATGCTGCTCGCTTCTTCTTCCACTGATGGCGAGGTCGCGCAGAGGGACAAGATGCTCCCTGTCATCACAATTGTGGGAATGGGTGGCATGGGGAAGACCACTTTAGCTAAACTCATATTCAATGATCCTCAGGTTGAGGAATGCTTTGAGATGAAATTGTGGGTGTGTGTTTCAGATGTCTTTGATATCAAGGATATCACTGAGAATATCCTCAAGTCTGCAACCAACAAAGAGATACCCAAGTTAGAGATGGAGCAGCTACAGGGTCAGTTGCGGAACCAAATCGGTGATAAAAAGTACTTGCTTGTTCTAGATGACGTGTGGAATGAAATTCGTGAGAAATGGCTTGAGTTGAGGGACCTCTTGAAGATTGGTAGAAAGGGAAGTAAAATCGTGGTAACTGCTCGATCAAGGGATGTGGCCGAAATAATGGGCACTTTTCCTCCTCATGAGTTACAAGGTCTATCAGAGGAGAAGTCCTGGGAATTATTTAAAAAGATGGCATTCAATGAAGAAGCTCAACAAAATCCACAACTACTGAAGGTTGGCAAGGAGATTGCCAAGAAGTGTGGGAAACTTCCTTTGGCCATAAGAACCGTAGGCAGTCTGCTTTATGGTAAGGAGGAGATAAAGTGGTCGTCAATCAAGGATACAAGTCTTGCAAAAATACCTGAGAGCCAAAGTGAAATTATGAGCATTCTCAGGCTTGTGGTCGCCATTGAAAAATTGCTTTGCTTATTGCTCTTTGTTTCCAAAAAACACTGGGTTGAAGAAAGAAATTTTGAAAGAGCTTTGGATGGCTGAGGGCTTCATTATTCCAGAAATCGATGAAAATCAAAGTCTAGATGAAGCTGCAGAGGACTATTTTCAAACTTTGCTGCAAAGGGGATTTTTCCAGGATATAAGAAAAGATGAATGGGGTGCTATTACGTATTGCAAAATGCATGATCTTGCTCAAGAAGTGGCTTGAGTCAAGTTCAAGCTTGCAAATTTAGCAGAAAGCAAACTTAATGGCAAAATCCTCCACTTGTCCCTTGCTCATCATTTGTCCTACTGGTGGAAAATTCAAACTGGCATGCTAGATTTGAAGCTGATGCGTACCTTTCTTTTGGCACAGCCAAGATATCATGATACGCCATCTTCCCTCTGCAAATCAATATGCCAACAGTTAACAACGAGGTTTAGCTGCTTGCGGGTATTGGATCTCCGTAGATTCACCATCAAGAGCTTGCCAAATTCAATAGGTAAACTCATTCACTTGAGATTCCTCAGTTTAATTAATACAAATATTAAAAAACTCCCTGATTCAATCACAGATCTTCAAAATTTGCAAACGCTATATTTATGTGATTGTTCCGAGCTTAGAACACTTCCAAAAAATATTAGAAAACTTGTTAATGTTAGGAGGCTTGATCTTAGAGATTGTGATAGTCTAACTCACATGCCATCAGGGTTAGCAGGATTGACTTTGCTAAATATACTGCCTAAATTTATAGTAAATTATGATAAGTCTTCTGGAGTGTTTTGGAACAAGCCAAAAAGTACTGCTAAATTGAGTGATTTAAAGGAACTCAATAACTTGAGAGGTGAGCTGTGGATAGAGATCTATAGAGATTTTGAGATGAACATGGTAGAAGAAGCAATGGAAGCAAAGTTGACCAACAAACAGGGGCTGATCGGATTGATAATAAACTTTTTAGACTCAGATGATGATACATCTGATAATGAATGTAATAACCATGATGAAGTTGTGCTGGAGGGCCTCAAACCGCATTCTAATATAAGGAAATTGAGGATTGAAGATTACAAGTTGGGCAAGGAGGGGTGATTTGTGTATTACTCTTCCATTTTTGGTTGAAATTACACTTCTCAATTGTAGTTGTCAACAAGTCCCCGTGTTTAGTCAATTACGTTTCTTGAAGCGTCTACAGATTGAAGGTATACATAGCGTGGAATATATGGAGAATGGTGTATGTGACACTTCCTCGTCATCATCAAAATCACAAGGGATGCAAACTCTATTCTTCCCATCTCTTGAAGCACTTGCATTGAGGGATATGAAAAAACTTAAAGGATGGTGGAAAGGAGTAGAACCGATTGAGAGTACAAATGATTCAAAAAGTAGTACATTGTCGTCTGCATTAGTAGGGACTGACCAACAATATGATTATCATCAATCATCCATGCAATTTTTTAGTCTCTCAAAATTACTTATAAAAGATTGTCCGAAGTTGAAATACCTGCCACATTGTCCAAAAGTGGAGGTTTTGAAACTAATCGGCACCAATGAGAGGCTCTCAGTATTGAAGATGGCAACTCCTCTATCAACAACAACTGCCTTTTCTTCTTCTTGTTCTGGTTCGGGAAGGGCTGATTTGAAGTTTAAGGGGCTGAAAATGGATAATGTGGAAGACCAACTTATGTCCCTCCCTAAACATTGTCTGCACCGGCTTTCTTCGCTATCTGTCGAATCTGATAACAAGCTAGTGAACACTAAAAGTCTAGGAGAAGCGTTTGCAACTCTATCTTATTCTCTTCAAAATTTGGAATTCATCAATTGTGGTAAGTTGAGAAGCATATCTCAAGGACTGGAACATCTTACCGCATTAGAGAAGTTGAGCTTCTGGGATTGTGAAGTGCTTGATGTATCATTAAATGAACAGCCAATGGAAAATAGAGAGGGAGATGAAATGATGCCATGGAAAGCCTTCAAAACTAATCTCCGCTCTTTGGAATTTGTAGGACTTCCTAAAATGGTGGGTCTTCCGAGTGGTCTTCAACATTTGACGAACCTCCATGATCTGAAACTAATACAAAATCATGAATTGAGGGAAATACCAGAATCGATAAGTTGTTTGTCCTCTCTTCAACTTATGGTATTGCGGGATTGTCCCAAATTGACATGTCTACCAGAAGCCCTACGCAAACTCACCTCCCTAAATAAACTCGTTATTCAAAGCTGTCAAGGATTGACAAAAAGATGTCGACGCCCAAATGGTCTCGACTGCCCCAAGTTTCAGCATGTCCCTACTGTTATTGTAATGTTATAATGTGACATATAGATATTTTTTTTATATTGCATACAACAAATCTTACAAATAGTTTTGATCATATGTGACAAAATTACATAATATTTTTTTTTCTTAAATTATTGTCCACAATAAATCATGAGAAATGGTGCTCATCAGTTTTTTTTTTATTTTCTCTTTGACAAACATCAAAATTTTCAATTATCTTTGTTACTCATGTATTACTGCTATTAATTCAATGAATGGTGACATTAGTTAATCATTTTAATCATATGTGACGTTTTGACTTTGTGCACTGTTCACAAAATTTACTTTGACATCTTTTTTAACTGATTGCACTAACAGACACAATTTCAACAAATTCCATAATCAAGTTCAAATTGATACATACTAAATACAATCAGTTCGAAATTATTTAAATCAATCAATCAAAACCATGAGAAGATAGATGGTTATTATGATAACCATTACCAATTGGCTTATCATCACACTTAACAACGTCATCCCCTGCATTAAACTCCTTAAACTGAGCTATCCTACCAAGCTCTTCAACCTCCTCAATGACGCGATCCAACCTGGCAACTGTTTCCGCTAGCAATGATGCAAAGGCCGCAAATGGTAATGCTTCAGCAAACTCTAGGCTTGTGATAGCAATCTATCTTGCTTAATGTAGGCCTTTAACATTTTTCTTTCTCCTCCACCTTCCTTCTCTTTAGGTGTTAGAGCCTCAGCAGCCGTAGCAGTCTTTTGATCTCGCTTATTCTTCCACTCGAGTAGGGCAGAAGAGTCAGTCTTAAAACTTGGTATGGCAAAATTTGTTGAGGCTATGGTAGGGGAGTTTTATAGCCATTGTTGGCAGAAGTTGCTCAGGTAAGAAAGTTGGGTGGAGCAGGGTGGTGGTTATCAAGGGTGGGATTAAGAAAGAGCCGAGGTTGAGACTTTAAGGCAGTATCAAGGTCTTGTAACGCTTCATGGAGGTGGTCTGAGAGGATTGATGGAGAGCAATGACGCCGTTTTTTTATGCTCCTTGCTAGTTCTCTTAGTATTTTTGAGACTTCTGCTGCAAGTCGGAAGCAGGGGTCCTTGAACAATGCGCAAACTGCTTTTGGAGTCTACAAAGGTCAAAAATCATTGAGGCTACATAGAAAAACTTCACATAGATTAGCATAGAAAGGTTACTCTAGTGATTAATCAGAAATGTAACTGCAGTACCTGAATTTTCTGTCTGCAACATCCGTGCAAGGCAACAACAGTATAGCCAAAATGTCGAAGCACTGCTCCTACCTTAACATACTGCTTCCATGGGAACCGGTAGCAGTACCTTGATGCCCGAGGCTCCCAGCTTGCATATAATGCCTGAAACAACCAGAATTTGACAAACTGCTTATCTTGAAAGTAAAAATATGTACTAAGAACTGTAAGCTGTTGTTCAATAAACTACTGTCCTATGTAAGTTTAAGCATAATATGCATCCTTACCAGGGCCTCATCTGCAGATTTTGAATCCAAAATTTCCTTATAAATAGGATCATCAGACAAATTATCTTCTTCAGCTTCTAATTTTGCATCTACTTAGACTCTTGCCCTTAACTAATTAAGGTCACTTTTATACTTAGTTAGGGTCACTTTTTCTCTTGAGTAAGATCAGTTTTGTCTTTAGTTAGGGTTACAATTGTCCTTGAATAGGGTCACTTTTTCCTTAATTAAGATATTAATCAGGGTCATTTTGATCATCTATACTTTATCCCTCTAGTAGGGTCACTTTTTTTTTTAATTAATCAAGGTTACCTAGCTTTATCCTTAGTTATGAACTTATCACCACTTTAGGACCTATTCTGATTTACTGAAAACAACTGAACTAAACTGACTGGAGCTGAGTTAAACTGAATTGAATTGTTTATGAGAGAAGGAAATTAGGAGCTAAATTGATTGGAGCCGAGCTAAAGTGATTGGAGCTGAAATGAACTGAAATTAAGCTAAACAGAACAAACCCTTAGCGCTTTTGGTATGGGTCAAACTTGTCTTTGATTGGGGTCATTTTTATTCAATGTTAGGATCACTTTTACTATTTTGTTGCTAGCAATTGTTTTTAACAACACAAGAGCACTTAGACATTTTCCAAGCTACAACATTAACCAAAATACATCATACCATTTTAACTATAAGCCTATAAGCAAGCACTACTTATAGTCTACATAAGCTATGTAGGACTTGAACCCACACCATGTACAACTATTGCACATTGCTCTATCATTTGAGCTAATAGCCTTGAAATCAAACATTTGTACAAGCACTCAAAGACCAACTACATGCAACCAAACAACCACATACAACCATTTTTATTCAAGGTAGCTCACGAAAGTATTTCTGACAACTAAGTAAAAAAAATTAGCTAAAGGGAGGGGGATATTGAGTAATAAGAGTATGTTTTAGAAGTATGTCGGAAATAATTTTCTTGTAGTATCAAGTATTACTAGCAATACTAGGCAGCTTAAGGTGAGGGATGTGCGATTTGGAGCTGCTATATGATTTACATAATGTCTAAATCAAGCAAATAATAGCTTGTCCACCTCTTGTACTCATATTCTTATGACTTGAACCTTGTTGGATAAATATATGAAATTTGAATAGACACAAGCACTTTATTTATGATCATATATATACAACTCTTGTCGAATAGTTTTAAATTAATAATCTCCCTAATTTTTAGTGACATATAACTACATAAGTTTATCTCCCATATATATGATTGAAAACCCAAATGCAAAAATTTAGAAAATGAAACACTTACAGAAGTTCATAAAACAATTTTCTTCTGCTCGTCTGCAGATCCCAAAACCTTTGCCCCTTCTTCTCCAATTGG